TGGTGATTTTAAAAGCTCAGTTGGGGTAAGCCTCATTGAGAAAGCAAAATTGGAGCACAGACTGGAAGGAATTGAGGGACCAGCTAAGCAGGTGTCTGGGGAGAGAGCAACTGGGGGGCTGTGCAAAGGCCCTGGGGTGGAAACTGTCAAGGAAGAAGCTATGGCAGAGCGAGCATGATGAAGAGAAGTGGAGATGGTGATCTCAAGAGCCCAGCACTGTGCCAGGCATATAGTAAATGCTCACTAAAAGAGGTTCCTGTCCATGTCCCCAAGAAAGCTTCAGAGATGGACAACACTCAGCCCTGTCCTCAAAAGTTTATGGTCAAGTGAGGACAGAGGAACATGTACAACCGTCTTCTACATACTATTCATTCAACACTCACGACAACCCTGTGAGACAGGTATGCTACTCCCATGTTACAGATGAGTCACCCAAAGAACAGAGAGGGCAGGTCACTTGCCCAAGGTCATACAGCTGGGGGGTGTCAGAGCAGGTATCTACAGCCAAGCAAGCTGGCTTCAGAGTCTGTGTTCTTCTTTTTTAAAATTTCAACTTTTATTACAGATTAAAGGGTATATATGTGCAGATTTGTGACGTGGGTAAATTACATGCTGCTGAGCCTTGGGGTCCCAGTGCCCAATGGGTGACTCTTCAGCCCATGTCCACTTTCCCCTCTCTCCCATCTACTGGACCCCAGTGTCTGTTGTTTCCATCTTTATGTTCATATGTATGCAATGTTTCACTCCTGCTTACAAGTGAGAACGTGTGGTGTTTGGTTTTCTGTTCCTGCATTGGGCCACTTAGGATAATGGCCTCCACCTCCATCCATTGGAGCCCTTGCTGCAAAGGGCATGATTTTGCTGTTTGTTATGGCTGCACAGTATTCCATGGTGTACAGATACCACGTTTTCTTTATCCACTCCGCTGCTGATGAGCACTCAGGTTGATTCCATGTCCTTGCCATTGTGAATAGCACTGTGTAACAAACATATGAGTGCACTTGTCTTTATGATAGAATGAATTACTGTTCTTTGGGGATTGAATCTTAGAGAGGGAGTTTGATATCTCAGACCAGCACCACTTACTAGAAACTTAAGGCAAACCACATGTGTAATTGTAAATTTTCTAGTAGCCATGTGAAACAGGTATGAAGCTGGGTGCAGTGGCTCATACCTGTAATCCCAGCACTTTGGGAGGCTGAGGTGGGTGTATGGCTTGAGCCCAGGAGTTCAAGATCAGCCTGGGCAACATAGTGAGACCATCTCAAAAAAGAAACAGGTACAGTTAATTTAATACCATATTATATTTAACCCAATATAGCATAAACATTAACAGTTGAATGCACAACCAACATAAAAACTCCTAATAAAATGTTGGCCTTTTTTTTCCTGTCTCCAGTCAACAATAGATGTTAGCAAGGCTGTGGAGAAAAGGGAACGCCAAGGCAGGAGAATTGCTTGAACCCGGGAGGCAGAGGTTGTAGTGAGCTGTGATTACGCCACTGCACTCCAGCCTGGGCGACAGAGCGAGATCCCACTGTGGGTGGGAAGGCAAACTAGCTCAGCCACTGTGGAATGCAGTTTGGAGATTTCTCGAAGAACTTAAAGTAGAACTACCATTCAACCCAGCAATCCCACGACTGGGAACATGCCCAAAGGACAGTAATTCATTCTGTCATAAAGACACACATGCTCCTATGTCTTCCAAATCTGGTCTGCATTTTATTCTTATGACAGATCTCAATTCGGACCAACCGTGTTTCACAGGGAAGTACAGTGAGAGAGCGACAGCCATGTCGAGCCATCAAGCAGGCAGATGAAATGTGTTATACATGACTCTTCATTCCACAGTCTTTATTGAGTGTCTGCTTTGTACCAGGCACTGCTTAGGCATCGGCGATTCCAAAGCGAACAAACAGATCCCCAAAAGCTGCCCCCTTGGAGCTGACATCCTAGTGTGGAGATATAGACAACAAACACAGAAAGCAAAGTCAGTAAAATACAGAATCTGTCAGGTGGAGATGAGCGTGAAGAAGCATAAAACCAAGAGGGGCAGCGTGAGTCCCAGTGGTATGGAAATGGTGGTTTTCAATCCCGGGGTCAGAGAGGACCACAGCAAGAAAATGACACGTGAGCAAAAGTCTGGAGGAGGTGATGGGCGAGGAGTGCCGCAGCTGGGTGGAAAAGCATTCCAGGTGGAGGGCGCTGCAGGGGCACAGGGCTGGCGCCTTGCCCAGCAAGAATGCTGAGAGAGGGCATTTAGAACCTCATCTACCCAGAGGGAGAGGAGTCATACTCTTGGCAGAAATGGGGCCACCCAGGGATTGAGAGAGAGAGAAAGGCAGGAAATGGGCCAAGACTGTAACATCAACCGGAAACGCCTACATTTTAAGGGGAAGGTGGAGGAGATGGAGGATGAGCAAAAACCACTTGGGAGGCGTTGGCTGCCTTAGGAGAGTGCGAGACCCCAGGTTCCAAGGAGCAGGAAGTTTCTCAAATGGAACCTGGGCCAAGGGTAGCACTCTGCCTGGGCAACAGGGTGAGGGTAGAGGAGGCCCAAGAGGTGGTGGCGCAGAACGCTCATCTCCTAACAGCAAGCATGTGCTAAGCCTAGATCGTCGCGTAAGTGCAGCTGGGCCTCGTGGCAAACCTGCGGGTAGGTTCTGGCTCCATACCCCTGTTTCACAGATGAGAAAACAGAGGCACAGAGATGGGGCAGGACCTGTTCCAGGTCGTCCTGGTAAGCAGGGGTAGCAGCTCCAAATCACCTATGCGGGTGGCTCCTGGCTTCTAAATAAACAGCCTCACCCTGCAAGGAGGGGCATTGAGACTGCATCCCAAAAAGCTAAAAGAAGAGGCAGTGCAGCACCCTGGACAAGGCCCCTGTAAGGGCTCAGCCAGTAGTTTCCCGATGAAGAAATGAAGGAATATTCTAGAATCTAGGGTAAGGTAACGACCAGGGCTGGGCCTAGTGGGAGGCAAAGGAGGCATCTAGGGTCTAAAATGTGAAAAGACTCTCACTCTTGGGTTCCTGCATTTACAGGACTCTGATGGTGAACTTAAATTTTGCATTGCTCACTGGGCAAGTGTCTTAACCTCTCTGTGCATGGGATCCCAGACAGCACCTGCTTATAAGGCCAATATGAAACCTAAATGCATTAAAATGCAGGAAGTGCTTCAAACATTGCCTAACCCACAGACTAGATGGTTTTTAAGTTGTTTGTTTGTTTGTTTTGTTTTGTTTTGTTTTGATATAGGGTCTTGCTCTGTGACCCAGGCTGGAGTACAGTGGTACGGCTCACTGCAACCCCTGCCTCCCGGGTTCAATTGATTCTCCTGCCTCGGCCTAGCAAGTAGCTGGGATTACAGGCATGTGCCACCATGCCTGGCTAATTTTTGTATTTTTAGTAGAGACAGGGTTTCACCATGCCGGGCAGGCTGGTCTCAAACTCCTGATCTTAAGTGTTCTGCCCACTTTGGCCTCCCAAAGTGATCACGGCTCACTGCAGCCTCAACCTCCCAAGCTCAGGCGATCCTCCCGTCTTAGTCTCCCAAGTAGCTGGGACTACAGGTGTGCATCACCATGCCTGGCTACTTTTTTTTTATTTTTATTTTTTTGTAGAGATGGGGTCTCACTATGTTGCCCAGACTGGTCTTAAACTCCTGGACTCAAGGGATCCTCTGCCTCCCTAAGTGCTAGGATTACAAGTGTGAACCACCGCACCTGACCTACATGGACTATATGTGTTTGCTACTATTGTCATTCACCAAAAGGCCGAGAGGGGTTGATGGTACTTGCCCACGGCATTCTAAAGGCTTTGTTGGCCAGGGGGTGGGGAGTGAGGGTCTCTAGGGAGGGAGGAACCGACCTTTCTCGAGCACTCACTCTGTGCAAGTGTTGGGCCCGGCTGGCACCCTCTCCTGTAGCCCCACATCAACCTCATGAGGCAGGTGCTTTCCCATGCCCCTTTTACAGATGAAAGAACTGAGGACCGTGAGCAAGAGGCTTTCCAGCATCTCACAGAGGCTGAGCTGGGATCAGGCAGCTGTGTCAAGCCTAGTGCTTGGGTCCCTTCTGCTTCACCTAGGAGGTGCCACAGGGTCTGACCTACCTGGGTTCCAGCCTCCTCTCTGCTGCTGTTGCATGACCTCAGCCAGCCCCCTCTGTTTCCTCATCTGTAAAGTGGGCATCAAAACAGTATCTGTTTTGGGGCCAGGTGCAGTGGCTCATGCCTGTAATCCCAGCACTTTGAGAGGCCGAGGCGGGCAGATCATTTAAGGTCAGGAGTTTGAGACCAGCCTGGCCAGCATGGTGAAACCCAGTCTCTACTAAAAATACAAAAATTAGTCAGGCGTGGTGGCATATGCCTGTAATCCCAGATACTTGGAAGGCCGATGCAGGAGAATTGCTTGAACCCGGGAGGCAAAGGTTGTAGTGAGCTGTGATCACGCTACTGCACACTAGCCTGGGCGACAGAAAGAGATCCATCTCAAAAAAACAAAACAAAACAAAAAACCAGTATCTGTCTTGGAAGTGCTGAGAACAGACAAGGGAATATAAAGTTTGTGAAATGTTGAGCCCACTGTGCTACATTCCTGTAAAGCACACACGTGCACATGCACACACACGTGCACACACATATGCACACATGTGCAGGTACACAGGCTGACAGTGACAGCACACTTCTTATGCTCAATTTCATTTAAATCTCACAAGAAACACACGCTATGAGGAACGACCCACAGGCCCACATCAGAGAGGAGGACCCTAGGGGGTGCAAGGGTGGGAGTCGTCTCCTCACAGCCGCACCCTTGGCCAGTCCCCGTCCAGCAGCCTCTTCCAAAGGAGCTTTTATGGGCAGATAGTTTGTCAGCCCAGCTTGAAATGTGAACAAGGTAACAGCCGAGCCCCCATCCATCCTGCTGCACTCCCCTGCATGTCCAGCCCCAAGCTCAAGCACACCTCCTCGGGAGAAGACCGCCCCAGCCTGCAAGGAAGTGCTCATTATGGAGAGTGGAGAGTGACAGGCCACTCCCGGCCACGTCTCCAAGCAAGCCGGTGCCCCCTCCTCCTGCTGCCACCGCCCACTGAGCTGCCTGGACTGCAGACGCCCTGGTCGGAGCCTCTGGGGCCAGATGTTATAGGGCAAGCTAAAAATAACCGGGCAGGCCAGCCACCATCGAGGAAGGGGCATGTGCTGGACGCGGACACATGATCCGAGGGACTCTGCTGGGTGGAACTAAAAGTCCAGCAGGCTGTTCACGCTCCTGTCCCCACTCGCAGGCCCACACGGTGAGGGGCCCCTCTTCTGTGTGCGTCTGGAAGGTTGCTGCCCGGTGAGGAAATGCCTTTAACCAGCGTGGGGCCGGGCAGCTGCAGGAGGCAGATCATCCAGGCTCTGTGCCTCTTGCTACTTCTGCTCCACGCCGGCTCTGCCAAGAATATCTGGAAACGGGCATTGCCTGCGAGGCTGGCCGAGAAATCCCGTGTAAGTGCCTGGGATGGGGAGACTGGGGCAGCCTCTGTGGGTGGGAGGCAGCCTTGAGGAGAGGTGATCCCTGGACACTGCCTTCTCCTGTAAGTGCTCTGCCAAAACGTGCCAGGGCAGGCGTCTTCCTATCCGTGTGTGTCTGAGTTGTGTGGTGGGCAGATGGGGTTCACCCCCCAAAAAGGACCCTTGCCTGTGAGTCAAGAGGCAAAAGATATATCACATATGTGCAAAAGAATCATGCCTCGCTTTTGCCTTATTACAAAAGTATACATGCTCCTGAAAGACAGCATCTAATTTCAGAGCCCCAGGACTTAAACGGAGCATTCCGTCTCCATGATCAGTACCAAATGTTTGTGAAATATACTTACGCATTCATGTGGTTGTTTATTCATTCTGCAAACAGAGTGAATACATTCTGCTAAACAGAATTTAGCAGAAACCGTTCTGGGGAAGGCACTGTCTGGGGGTCCTGTGGGTGTAAGATGAAGGAGGTACCAGCCCCCATCCTCAAGGGTGGCGTGGCCGAGGTGCAGAGGCAGTTGGGTGACAAACGATGGCAGTACAAAGAGAAGGCGCGAGGCAGCGAGTGGCAAGAAACACACGCCCTGGGGGCAGCTGTCTTGGTGTGACTGGGGCTATGATGCTCGTTAGCTGCGTGACTTCTCTCAGGCAAGCTGCTTGACATCTCTGAAACCCAGCGATCTCATCTGCAAGAGAGAGAGGGATGCACTCCTTTTCACAACTATGTCTGGTCGCCACTGTTTACCAGGCACTGTCCTAGGCTGTGGGGATACAGACCTCAGATCTCTGCCTGGGGAACTCACTGGGGGGCTGGGGGCAGCAGAGAATAAATGAGAGAGATCTCATTTATTAGTGTGTGCAGTTTGCGCGTGCTGAGGAAGCAATAAAGCGGGAAGCAAACTAGGAGAGAGAATGGAGTGGAGGAGCCTATCATTTTTGCTTCCTCCCACTCCCCAGAGATCACAGATCCGCAGGGACAGGGTGAGCCAGGACACTATCAGCACACAGAGGGATCGAGAAGGTAATGCTGGCACCCACAGCACCTGCGTGAGGATGAAATGACTCAGAATGCAGAACATCTTTGCAACAGAGCAAGCTGGCAGTGCATCTTGGCAGCTTTCAATCAAATAATTGTGACTTTGGTTGGTGTTGCCTAACAGGGTAGCATGTAGGTTCCTCAGGGTAGGGTGGGATTCTGTTTCACTAGCGTGTGCCCCTGGTGCCTGCCATTAAGTTGGCGCCTGGTACATTCTTGTGGGTGAATTATGAGCAGATGCAGTGGTAGCAGGGGATGTGTGTGCAGCTCTTCCCCAGAAGAGTCGGACAGGGTTTTCAGGGTTGGGGACAGTGGACCTGGGGCTTTAAAGGATAAATAGGAGTTTGCCAGCTGGAGAAGAGGGAAGGGAGAATGATTAATGACCCCAGGCACGGTGGGGTGCCCGAAACTGTATTGAGGCAAATCTGGGCCTCCAGGGCTCATAGTCTCCATGTTGGGCACGTGCTCATGGTGGGAGACAGGAGGCCTCCAAGGGGTGGAGAGAGTAGTAGAGTGAAATGATGAGGTGTTTGGAGAAGGGAAAGCTCACGTGAGATGGTGTAGTCACCTAAAGCCTCCTGGAGGAGGTGGAGACCCTGACTGGAGCTTGGAGAAGGGTTAGGAATTAGGAGGAGGAAGGACATTCCCGGAAGAAGACTCAGCATGAGCCGAGGCTCACAGGCAGAAGTGGTGCATCTGGGAGCTGCTTGGGAGACCAGACCTGGCCAGAGGGGAGGCAAAGAGGAAGGGTAAGAGTCTCTTCTCAGATTGTATTGACTCCTCTGTGCTCTTCTCTGGTGCAACAGGATGATTTAACCCTCACCTGTAGTGCTTTGGTTCTACAACCACAGAGAGATTCCCAATATGTCATCTGATTTTGTCTCCACCAAGTCCCAAGATGTCATAGGAGCCAGCACCGTGACATCCACATAGGAGGGTCAGGGTTGATGTGCACAGGGGATTCGGGGGAGTCTCTGAAACACAGGCCTGGGTGGGCTGCAGGAGCTGATTCTCTTGTAGCCACCACTGGTCAGGATGCAAGTGCTTTGAATTGGCCCCGCGCTGAACTGAAACTCCCTGGTTATCAACAGATATTGGCCTCCTTCCTCAGCGCCTAGACACAGGCGAGGTTTATGCAGAACAACTGTGCCAGCAGGGTGCGGTGGCTCACGCCTGTAATCCCAGCACTTTGGGAGGCCGAGGCAGGTGGATCACCTGAGGTCAGGAGTTCAAGACTAGCCTGACCAATGTGGTGAAACCCCTTCTCTACTAAAAATACAAAATTAGCTGGGTGTGGTGGCACATGCCTGTAATCTCAGCTACTCGGAAGGCTGAGGTGGAAGAACTGCTTGAACCCGGGAGGCGGAGGTTGCAGTGAACTGAGATTGCGCCATTGCACTCCAGCCTGGTCAACAAGAGTGAAACTGTCTCAAAAAAAAAATGAAAAAAGAACAACTGTGCCTCAGAGAAAGCCCTGGGCAAAGACAGGCTGTTGGCTGTGGCTCGGAGGACAGGGAGGGCTGGGAAGAGTGCCTGGCCTAGAACTCATCACAGCGACATCTCTAATGTGCTGTGCAATCTTGGACCACTCACTGCCCTTCTCTGGTCCTCAGTCCTCACCTGGGAAATGAAGATGGAGAACTTATAACTTCCATGGCCTTTTCGTTCTGATTCTAATTTCCACCAAAACACGCGACAGGGACTTAGGGATGATAGGAAGCAGCCCCCACATGCTCAAAGTCGAGACTTCCCCTTGAGGCACCACTTTCTGACCCTATGCTGAGTCAGACCTTCCGCCTGGGCTCTGTCCCTCAAGGGCTATGGGCTGGTCAGGGTGAGGAGACGCTGGGTGTGGGCTGAAGCTGGCTTGCACCCCCTCCGGAGAGCCAGTTTTGCTCCACACACGCATGATCACAAATTAAGTTATATAAACTTACAACTAAATCATTTATATTAGAAAGAAAGGAAAGAATTGTTTTTCTGTAAGACAGAGTCTCTTGATGCGATCTTAGTTCACTGTAACCTCCACCTCTCCGGCTCAAGTGATTCTTGTGCCCAGGCCTCCTGAGTAGCTGGGATTACAGGCATGCACCACCACGCCCGGCTAATTTTTTGTATTTTTAGTAGAGATGGAATTTTGCTGGTCTCAAACTCCTGGGCTCAGCTGATCCGCCCGCCTCGGCCTCCCAAAGTTCTGGGATTACAAGCGTGAGCCTCCGCACCCAGCCAGGAAATACCTCTTATTAGAAATGCATCACTTTCCAATTGTATTGCTCCATTTTGCTATTCTCTCTGCTCCTGGGATTTTATGTCTCTTGCATCCGTGTGGTATGACGAGGAGAGAAGGTACTCCACATCTCTTCCCACTCCCATTCAGTGGCCTCACGTGGGTTGCCTGAAATCAACCATGCTGTGAGTACACCTTGGAAACCGGCCAGGGCTGTGTGCGGAGAGCTCGTGGTTCAGTCCTGAGCAAGCGCATGGCTGCCGGTAGCCTGCTCTGCTTTGTCAAAGCCTCGTCCCCCAGCAGAGTGACTTTTGTGTAGGGGACTGGACTCTTAGAGTGGGGTCGGTTAATGTCCTGAGTGCTGTTTATGCGTCTTGGTCTAAGCATGCAGAGACAGTGCCAGAGACGAGCACGCTTGCCTTCCATTCCCATGGGAGGAAGAGACCCTGACTGGAGCTTGGGGAAGGATTAGGAATTAGGAGGAGGAAGGCCATTCCCGGAAGAAGGCTCAGCAGGAGCCGAGGCTCAGCTCACAGGCAGAAGTGGTGCATCCGAGAGCTGCGTGGGAGACCAGACCTGGCCAGAGGGGTGGCATTGAGGAGGGGTGAGAGACTCTTGCCTTCCATTCCCATGGGAGGCCCTTAGGGGAGGCTTTTGATGAGAAGTGCCGGGTCTCCCGCCTTCTATCTCTAAGACCTTCCGGAGGTTCCTTCTCCTATCTGAGCCTCAGTTTCTTCATCTGCAGCATGGGGCACAGCAGTGCCTTCTTTGCAGGGTTCAGTGAAAAGGCCATGGAGCCTATGGTTCCCTGCCTGGCACAGAACTGCATTCCCTACGTGTGTACTACGGACAGATTTAAAAACCCATTCCAGGCCAGGCACAGTGGCTCGTGCCTGTAATCCCAGCTACTCGGGAGGCTGAGGTAGGAAAATCGCTTGAACCTGGGAGGCAGAGGTTGCAGTGAGCTGAGATCGTGCCATTGGACTCCAGCCTGGGCAAGAAGAGTGCAACGCCATCTCAAACAAACAAACAAACTAGCAAACAAACAAAAAACCCCATTCCAGAACCAAATATTGATGAGACTGAATAAAACAGAAGCAAAATGTTTGTAAATAGTCCAATAACCTTTCCGTGGAGCTCAGTCAGTTCTGTGGAGTTGGTATTTCTGGCTTTTCTTTCCTGGCATTAGATAAAACTCCTGAGAACAATGATTTCCTGAGCGCTTTTGCTGTGTCAGGACAAGCATTTGCCATGCATTCGCGCTTGGGAGCCTCTCGACAAATCCACCAGGTGGGGACCACGGCAGCCACATGCGGGTCTGGGTGCTGCGCAGCCTCTGGACTGGGCAGGATGGCCCCTGCTGTCAGTGTGACTGTGGGTCTGTTTTCCCCTCTAAGCACCCATCCGGGGCAACTGGAAATGGTGGTTCAGTTTGCACCCTGCCCAGAGATGCCTGTCCTGCTGAGGGGCAGCCAGGAGCAACAGATGCCACTTTCTCTTTCAAATGCATCCTGCCAGACAGGGGTCCCATCTGTCTGGAGGCACCCCCTGTGCTAATAGCAGTAGGGGACCGTAGGAGCCAGCAGTGGCCCACACAACTCACATTCCTCAGTTCCCCAACCTAGTTCTCCTTTCCCCCATTATTTCTGTGAGCTCTTGAAAGCTTTCCAAATATCCTTTTATTTTTTGCTGAGATAGCAAGAGTGGGAGAGG